CCCTCTTGTGACTCAGCAATAGCGCCCTGCTTCCATGGCAGTCCAGTCTTCCTCCACAGGCATTCCCTGCTGCAGATTTCCTCCCTCCTGTCCCCTCAGTCCGTCTCCCCACAGCCCACAGCAGTTCTCACTCTGGGCCTGTTCTCCAATCCCCATGCACCAGCTCCCAGCCCCCTTGCACACCTGTGAATACACGTCCCAGTCCGGGGCACATAGGGCTGAGGTATGGACCATCTGTGTACTTCTCACTCTGTCCCGTCTGCCACAGATTGGCCGCTTCACCTTCTTCTGACAGCCTCAAATGCTGCCCTTCTGTCCCAATCGATTTCCCCGTCGGAGAGGGGGTTTCCCCAAATTCGCACATCTCTCCTCTGCTTCAGCTCTCCCGACCCAGAGTGCAGGTCCTGTCCTACTTCCTCTCCTTCTCCTTCTCCCTTCTTTTTTCCGTCCTACACAGTTATGCAGGGATCTTTATAGTCCTTTCCAGTGTCCAAGGTCTTCTGCTAGTTTTCAGCCAGTGTTCTGTGAGAACTGTTGCATCTACAGATGTATTCCTGACGCATCCGTAGAGAGAGATGAACTCCATGTCTACTTACTCCTCTGCCATCTTGAATCTCTCTTCTTGTAGCATCCTTATCTGGCTTTGGTATCGGGGTAGTGCTGTCCCTGTAAAATGAATTTGGAAGCGTTCACTCCTCTTCGACTTTTTCACAGAAGAAATTGAGAAGAATTGGTATTAATTCTTCTCTATGTGTATATGTATGGTAGAATTCACCGGGGAAGCCATCAGGTTGTGGGCTTATTTTTGTTGGAAAGTTTTTGATTGTTGATTCAAGTCTCCTTACTCCTTTCGTCTGTTCAGATTTTCTGTTCCATCATGGTTCAGTCTTGTTAGGTTGCATGTTTGCTAGGAAGTTATCTGTTTCTTCTAGGTTATCCAATATGTTGGCAAATAATTGTTCATAGTAGTCTCTTATAATCTTTTGTCTTTCTATGGTGTTAGCTGTAATATCTCCACTTTCATTTAGAATTCTGAGTCCTTTATTTCCCCATGGTTAGTCGAGCTAAACATTTGTCTCTCTTCTTTAAAAGCCAACTCTTTTTGTTGCTTTTTTCCTATTGTCTTTCTAGTTTCTATTTCTTTTATTTCTGCTCTAATATTTACTATTTCCTTCCCTCTGCTAACTATAGGCTTAGATTGACCTTTTTTTTCTAACTCCTTGAGGTTTAAAATTAGGTTGTTTGAGCTGTTCTTTTCTTCTAATGTAGGCATTTAGTGATATAAATTTCTCTTAGAACTTTTTTTTTTTTACATCCCGTAAGTTTCGCATGTTGTATTTTCCTTTTCATTGTCTCAAGATAATTTCTGATTTCCCTTCTGATTTCTTCTTTGATCCAATGGTTTTTCAGGAGCATACTGTTAAATTTCCACATATTTGTGATTTTTTTCTTTTTCTTTTTGTTATTGATTTCTAGTTTCACACAACTGTGGTTAGAAAAGATTCCGGACATGACCTCAGTCTTCTTAAATTTGATAAGATTTGCTTTCTGGCCCAATATGATTTATCATGGAGAATGTCCCATGTATGCTTGAGAAGAATGTATATTCTGGCGCTGTTGGATGGAATATTCTGTATATGTCTTAGGTTCATTTGGACCATAGTGTTATTCAGGCCTTCTGTTTCCTTACTAATTTTCTGTCTGGATGATCTATCCAATATTTATAGTGGGGTATTGAGGTCCCTAATTATTACTGTATTTCCATCTATTTCTCCATTCAGTTCTATTAATATTTGCCTTAAATACTTAGGTGCTTCAATGTTGGGTGCACATATATTTACAATTGTTATATTCTCTTGATGAATTGACCCCTGGACCATATAGTGATCTCTGTCTCTTGTGACCAATTCTGACTGAAAGTCTATTTTATCTGATGTAAGTATAGCCACTCTTACTCCCTTTTGGTTTCCATTTGCATGGAATATCTTTTTTTATCCATTCACTTCCAGCCTGTATGTGTCATTAAAGCTAAAGTGACTCTCTTGTAGGCAGCATATTGTTGGATTCTTTTTCTTTTTTTATCCTTCATCCCCTCTGTGTCTTTTGGTTGGAGAATTTAGTCCTTTAGCATTTAAAATAATTATTAATAGGTAATTACTGTCATTTTGTTAATTGTTTTCTGAGTATTTTTTTAAGTCTCCTATCCTTTGTTCCTCTCTTGCTGTCTTACTTTATTTTTTTTTTTAAACTGGTATGCTTTAACTCCTTTCTCTTTTTTTTGTATCTATCATAGGTTTTATTCTTTGTGGTTACCATGAGGTTTACATTAAACATCTTATAAATATAACAGTTTATTTTAAGCTGATTACAAACCTTCACTTGTGATGTTGTGCAATGATGCATCTGATACTGTTAGTGTTTTCAGTAGAAATGATGCATTATCATCTCGGAGTCTAGTCAGTTAAAATCCCAGGGAACTTCTATTCATTCATTTATCAGCTACTGAAAGGATGCCTTTACTATACTTGGTACTGGGAACATGGAGGCCAATAAGACATATGGTTCCTGTCCTCAAGGAGTTCAAAGTTTAATGGGGACATAATAATTATATAAACAATTTACAAAATTACAATTGTGCTAAGAGCACCAAAGAGAAGTACCACAGGTTGGGAGCATATACCATGAGCGATTCTGAAGTAAAAGGAAGTAGCGCTTTGAGGAAGAGATATAAGCAAAGACTTAAGATTAAGAGTTAAGAATTGAGAGAAAGAACAACAGCACATGCAAAATTGAAAAGGAGCTGGATGACAAGGCAATGAGAGATCAGTCTGGTTCAAGTACATTGAGGAAGGTAAAAGGGGACCTGGAAGTAAGTGAGTGAGATCTTGCAAGAACTTGGAGAACAGTTTAAGGAGTTAGGACTTAAAGTGTAATGAGAGGCCACTAAATGGTTTGAAGCAGGGGAGTAATGAGAAGGGATTTACAGTTTAAAAAGCAAATACTTACTACGTGTGGAAAACAGATTCAAGTAAAGAATGGTTGTAGGAGACCAATTGGGAGGGAGGCAATGGCTGTAGTCCAGGCAGGGGATGACGCAGCACAGGCTAGGCTGGAGGTGGTGGTAATACAGAGAGATTCAAGATCTATTTAGGGCTTGATGACAGACTTTATGTGGGGAATAAGGAAGAGGAAAGTGTTAATGCTAACTTTTTTTGCATGAAAAATGGAGGAGATGATAATGCCATTTTACTGAGAAAGCAAATTCTTATATAAAAAGTGTTGTCAGACTGGGCTTCCCCATCCTGAACTTGGGTAATTAATGTTTTCAACTTACTGCAAGACCTTTATATTCATCCCTGTTGATTTTTTCATTTCTTTGGCTCATACTTCCAGTCGGTTCGGATATTTCAAAATCTTTAGTCTATCATCCAATGTCTCCTATAAATCCTCCCAGCTTTTTATCATCTACAAATTTGGTAAGTCATACTTTGTTATCATTTACTAAGTTGTTGTTAAGCATGTAAAAAGAGGACAGAATTAAGTACTCAGCCCTTCCGTGCATCCTTAATAATCTCCCTTCAGGGTGGCACTGGTTCATTAAGCAATACAACTGAGGAGTGTAACCAGCACCAGCAATAACACTAAACACTGAGGATGTGCCTAGCACTTAATGTCCATTATTTAATTTATTCTTCATGAAATTAATTTTTTCCATCCTCAAATACTCATTGAGCTCTTGTTATGTGTCAGGAACTAAGATAGGGACTATTATCATCCCCATTTTAGAGATAAGGAAACTCAGGCTCAGAGGTGAAGTAACTGGTCCTAAGTAACACACTTAGTAAAGGACAGAGTTATAATATGAACCCCAGCTTGGAGACCCTCCAAACATATGCTGCTAAAAATTGAGTTTTTATTTCATATACTTAAATTTTATATTTTATTAATTCATAAGTCCAGCTCTAAGGTGTAAGTGAGCGTGCGCGCTCATTAGGAATTTTTCCAGACCAGTTTCTCTGTTACTTATATCAAAGAACTTCTCAGTATTATCTCTAATACATATTATAATTTCTACATATTCTTCATGGCATCATGTTGTTAGTTAAACTGAGGGCTTTTTCCCACATCTACCCTCACAAAGTTCAGTTTCTTGATCAGATAGACAATTCTTCTCTCTTTATCTCTTCTTTCATAGTCAGCATTATAAATGATCCTGTTCAAATTCTAATATCTTTATTAGGTTAAAAACCAATTGTTTGTAGAAGTCTAAGAAATGAAGATTTTTTTATATAGGTGGGATTTGCTGTTTACATTTTAAGAAAAATTGCTCTATTTCAAAAATACTTTTTATGAAATGGGATAATTGAATTTCACAATATTCCCTTTACACACAAATAATAATAACAAAAAGTTGTGAGGTTGGTAAGTTAAGAAAATAAATGCAAATAAGGTAAACAAGATTCTGAACGAACAGGACTCCTCCTGTCTTCAATTCCAAAGAAATATTCCCAGAAGAAGAATGTACTGGTTTAAAAAAAAAAAAAAAAAAGAAAGTAGAGAATTAACCCAGAACACACTTGGTTTTTACCAGTAAGTCAATTTCATTTCAGAAGTGTGACACTCTATGTCCAGGAGGTATATAAAAAAATTCTGTCAATATCATAACTCAATAAAAAATTTTCAGTTTAGATAAATAGTTGTTTTATAAGGCTTATTGGTGCAAGACATTATACAGCCAAGAAAATGTTACCAAAAATATAACTGGCTATGATGACTGTCATTTTAAAATTCAGGAACACGACAGAGGGGTTTTACCAAGTAAAGTCTCAGCACTCAGCTTCTAACACATTATAGGTTTTTCAAAGGCTGTATTTATTTAGTTTTAACAACAACAAAAGAGCTACATCTACTTAGTTTCTCACTTACACGCAAAATATACTTCTTCAAACATCAAAATAAATGTTTCCTAAGCACTAACATACCTAAGAAAATTCACTCACCTCTAAGTTTCTGGAGGTCCTCCTTCAAATCAGGCCCTGCAAGCATGAAGATACTTTCTGACACAGGATTCTTATCAGTAAGACTTTCATTGCTGGTATTCACAATAGCTGTACAGTTCAGTAATGCCACATCTCCTTTCCTGAGGAAAATAAATAAATAAGAGCAAGTGTGGGGAAGAGGAGGCAGATAAGAAAGCTAGTTTCTAATTGTTTCAAAACATTCTATCTTCACTCCCTTCACAACATTGGTTTTACCAGTTCACAAGCTTAAGCAATAGTAAAAAGTTGTTCCTGATTCAGAAAGGCTAATATGGCATCGCAGATAGATCTTGAACGCAATTGCTGTAACCCTGAAACCCACAAAACCATCATGTCATTCCTTTGCTTCTTACATAAGAGATGTGTGTGAGATGGGGAGTGACAGCTAATGGGAACAGGACTTTGGGGTGATGAAAATGTTCTAAAATTGACTCTGGTGACGGCTGCACAATTTTGTGAATATACTAAAAGCCACTGACTTGTACAATGTAAACTAGTGCATTTGTATGGTATATGAATTACATCTCTAAAGCTTTTTTTAAAAACAGAAATGTACTACTACTACTACATGCAACAACATAGACGAACTTTCAAATAATTGTGTTGAATGAAAGAGGCCAGGCTGAAAAAAAGAGTACACGATTCCATTTATATAAAGCTCTAGAAAATGCATACTAATCTATAGTGACAGAAAGATGAATGATTGCTTGGGGATGTTGAGGCAGGGAGGGGCAGGAGAGAGGGATTACCAAGGGACACAAAAAAACTTCCGGGGTGATAAATATATTCACTATCTTGATTCTGGTGATGGGTTCATGGGTGTATACATGTCAAAATTTACCAAACTGTACACTTTAAATATATGCAGTTTATTGTAAGTTAATTAAGTCTCAATAAAGCTGTAAATGTGTATGCAAAGTAATATTTCAATAATGCAAGGGTTCACAAAAAAGAGTTTAGAAAAAAATATGAAAAAAAGAAATTAGAAGAAATTATGAGAAAGTATTATTATATCATGATATGATTTAACCAAGGAATTACCAGAGAACCACTTTTCCATTGATATCCTTATTGTAAAGAAAAGGTGATCTAATAGTCTCTTCCTGATATGTTTCAGCTGCAGTATCAGAAGTAGTTAATTGTTCTTCACAAGAATTGCCCCAGCTTGGTAGTGTATCCACATCCACAAACTGGGAAGGTGCACCCAAGGGATCCATGGAATGGGAGCTTCAGCTTGTCTTTTCCCAAATTCCTCAGCAATTCAATATTCACTGTAGACTTTAGCTTAAGAGAAAAGAATCATTTTAATAGAGAAGCACAGGTATTACTTTACTTCTATTAGAGTAAAAAACAAAACTCTGCTGTGAAATGCTCCAATAGTACATTGTGTGATTATAGTCACTTAAACAGTCCATTAAAAAATCAAACGTACAATGAATTACTACGGCTTTTTTAAACAGGAAGAAAGAGGGATTATTTAAACACAAATTATTTTCAAAGAATTACAGTCATTTAAATAATCACACGGCCCATCAATTCTACTTTCCAGAAACACAGGACTATTCATTCAACATTCATTGAGTGTCTGCTATTGGCGGGGTAGGGGGAGTGTCAGGTGCTGCAAGAGATACAAAGATAATATGAACAACTTAAAAAGTTCAGTCTAATATGGAAGATGAGAAGCAGGGAGGTTACTGCAATCAGGTAGTAAGAGATAAAGGTCTGAACTATGTAGAGAAACAGATGGAGAGGAAGGCATAGATTTGTGAGGCAACATACAAAGGAAAAATTAACAGGATTTGAAAATTTATAGAATATAGTATATGAGACACCAATGTGGTATAAGGTTGGTTGTACAGAAATGTAGAAATTAGAACAGAAGGGTGATAGGAAGACACGTAGTGTCAAGTCACAGAAACTCATGGGAAATTTAACACGATACTTCATTTGGCAATAAGTCAGATAGCTATTACAGAAAAATGGTAGATTCGTTCATTCAGTAAATCTTTATAAGCAGCTATTATGTGTCAGGTATTGTTCTAGTTACTGGGGACACACAGTGAATAAGACAGAGCAAGTCCCTACCCTTAGAGAGCTGATGCTTCCTTGAAAGCAGATGAAAAACGATAAACAAACAAGCAAGCAGGTATCTAATAGAACGACTGGAGGCAGTGAGTATTATAAGAAAAAGGTTCTATCTGAGCAGAGAGCTAAATAAAGTTAGAGAGAGCAAGCCATGTGAAGCTCTGGAGGGTGCGTCAGGCAGAGGGAATGGCAAGTACAAAGGCCAAAAGGGCAGGCAGGAGCTTGGTCTATTCCAGAAGAGCGTAGAGGCTGGTTTGGCTACAGTACAGTGAGCTAGGTAATGAGTAGCAGGTGATGAGGTTGGTGAGCCAAGGAAAGGCCAGATGATCTAGTTTGTAAGCCATGATAAGAAGTTTAGATCTTAATGTAAATGAGGGTAAGCTATTAGAGGGTCCCTATAAGGATAATGACTTAATATAAATATTTGAAAAGATTACTCCAGCTACAGTGAAACTGAGTGGGGGCAAGAGTAAACGCAGAGACCAGTAGAAAACGACTGGAGTAATCTAGGTGATGGTGATGAAGGTGGTGAGGAATGGTTAGAATTGGAATGAATTTTGAAGGTAGGGTCAACAAGACTTTCTAAATGCACCTGAGGGGGTGAGGGAAAAGAACAGAATCAAAGGTTACTCCTAGATTTCCTGCTTGAGCAATTAAATAGATGGTAATGCTACTTATAGAGAAGGAAAAGACTGGAGTAGGTTGCAGGTGGAGTAATAATCAAGGTATTTTTTTCCTTATGTTTTCCTTTTGTTAGTTTGAGATACCCATTATATGCCCAAGTATGTATATCAAACATGCAATTGGCTGGCTACATGAGGCTAGAGCCCAGAGGAGAGGTCAGGCTAAAGATATAAATTTGGAAGTCTCAGCATATAGATGGTATTTAAGACCACCAAGAGAGAAAATGCAAATGGAGAATAGATCCAAGGACTCAGTCCTAAGGCCAAATTTAGAGGCTGGAAAGAGGAAAAGTTTAAAAAAGAGATAGAAAAGCATTGATAAGAATGGAAGATCTGGAAAGTGTGGTACCCTAAAAGCCAAGTGAAGAAAGTAACTTTAGACAGAATGCTCAAGAGGGATCATCTAGGGTTAAATGCTACTGAAAGGTTGAGTAAGGACTAAGAACTAATTAGTCGGTTTGGTAAATTGGAGATAGCTGGTAACACTGAACATACATGAGAGCAAAGAGATGATTAGGGAATGACAGCTGGTACGTGAACTTCCTAAGAAGCTTTTCTGTATGATCCTTATGTTTGTTAAGAGTCAAGGAGAAAAAGCATGCCCTTCTATATCTAATATCTTGCTGTTTCTTGCTGAGAGACATGGGATACTAATTGGAATGAACGATGGATTTGACACAATATTCTAATTCCTGCACCAACACTGTGTGGTAGGAAATGTGCTCATTTATATAACTATTTCAGAAAGGCCTTGTAGATCATACCAGGATAAAATTGTATTGGAGGATTATTCTTATTTGTTACTAAGTACTCCTTTGATATTACTTTGAAATAAATAAACTAATTTTATCTAGAAGTTGGTGTTTAGTCCATCCACTTGGCCTTTGAAACTAGAGGCAACCACAAGTCCTGTTGATCAGTTCACAAGTATTCAGCCTGGAACTGGACAAGCTGAACAGAGTACAAGTGAAGGCTACATTCACTGTCTATGGCTGAACTGCCTTGAGCTCAACGGAATGACACCCTGCAGAAATTCATAATTTCAAAAAATTATCCACAGGTTTTTGGTGACAACTCATGCTGAAATTTCTTAACCATGATACTAAAAAGTCCATTAAAAACAAACTTAGTTTTCATTTTGCAAACTTGAATGTCAAATTACAGGGCTAAATCACTTCTTTAAAATAACTTTTCCTTCCAATTCTAAGTAATACTCACTTACAGAACATTTGAAAGATACCAAAAAGTAGTTCCTACCTTTTTCTGTGATAGGTAAAATCATAAGGTACATACAATTTTGAATCCGGTTTCTTCAGTATTTTAAGGTAAATATTTCCATATGCAATTACACTTTGAGGCAGAAGCAGAATGGTAAAAGCTTGGGCTCCGTTATCAGAAGGCCTGAGTTTGGGTTGAGGACATACCACCTAACAGTCATATTATCCTTGACTCTAAACCAGAGTTTTCTTATTTCTAAAATAGGAGTAATGTACTACTATGGTTATTGTGAGGATTAAATGATATAATCTGTATTAAAATTGCACAGCAGGGACTTCCCTGGTGATCCAGTGGTTAAGACTCTGCCTTCCAATGCAGGGGGTGCAGGTTTGATCCCTGGTTGGGGAGTTAAGATCCCACATGCCTCTCGGCCAAAAAAACAAAAAAAACATAAAACAGAAGGAATATTGTAACAAATTCAATAAAGACTTAAAAAAATGGTCCATATCAAAAGAATCTTTAAAAAAAAACTGCATAGCAGAGCACCTGGCATCAAGCAAGGCACAATAAAAGTTATAACTTTCTCAGAGCCAATGTGAAAGTCACCTGCACCACTGTTGAGATAAAGAGATGTTTTCATGTGTGGCAAAGACCAAGACACTCACTGTCAAAGACTCTCTAACGAGCATCAGATAAACAAATTGGTGAATTAAGATACACTCTTACTTATCTCAATGTCTGCCCTTGTAATGACTTGTTAATCCCTAACACCTAGATCAAGCCTACATCTGTTTTCTCTGATCTGCTCCTGCGCCAGTAGGGGAAAAAAAAAATCAGAAGTTATCCTCTCTGCTGTCAAAACAAATACATGGTTTCCTATGTTAGCTTGGCCCTCCATCAACACTAAGAGAAATCTGTTTTGAGTCATTCTTGGATGACTCTATGCTATTCCACACAGCATCTGTGATAGACAGCCTCCAAGATGTCCTTCAATGATACCTGCCTCCTGATATTAATGCCGTTGTGTAGATGCCTCCCATAATGAATAAGGCTGGCTAGTGTACCCAACTGGATATTGCAGAAATGACAGTGTGTGACTTCCACGGATGGATCATAAAAGATATTGTGGCTTCTGCCATGCTCTCTTGGACTGCTTGTTCTGGGGAAGTGAGCTCTCGTGACATGGGGACACTCATGAAGCTCATGGAAAAGCCCCTGTGTGGAGAAACTGAGAGTTCCTGCCAACAACCAGCATGACCTGACAGACATGGGAATGAATCACCTTGGATCCTCCAGCCCCACCTGACATCTTGACCACAACCTCATGAGAAACCCTGAGCCAGAACCACAAGACTAAGCAACTTTTGAATTCCTGACCCATAAAAACTGTGAGGTAATAAATGCTTATTTGCCTATTATGTCCCAGGCATTCATTCATTCAAGCACTGTTAAGTGCTGAGTCTCTGTCTAATGGAAGATAGCTCCACAAAAATCACACAAAGATATAATCGTAGAAATACATACATAGTTAAAATCTGTGATAAGTGTCCTACAACAAAGAAGGGTGGAGCTATTTAAATTGAAGAGGCAGAGAATGTCTCTTCCAGATAGTCAGAGTTGAGACCAAAAGTAGAAGAGTTTTACAGGCTGCGGAAAGGTACATCTGGCGCCTTAAGGCAGGAAAGAGCCTAAGACACTAAAGGAACAAAAGAAGGCCAACTGTGGAAGTTACAGTGAACCACAGGGTATTAGATATGTTACAAATATGCTTTCTAATCCTTACAATAATCCTGCAAAGTAGGTATCAGAACACTTATTTTACAGTGAGGGCACCAAGACCCAGAGGTTCAATTATCAGCTCAAGGTAACAGAACTAGTAAGTGGTACCTTGAGGTCCAAATCAAAGACCAGCTGGCACTAAAACCTGTGCCATTTCCATTACATCATATCACATTGCCTTCCTTCTTTTCCTGATGCTCTGAGAAAAGAGAAGTCATTGTTCAAATTATCTTAACTTCTCTCCAACTCAAAATGTCTCTATCTTCATTCACTCTTTCCAACTTCCAAGTGATTTTTGGGTATATTCCACACTTTTAAGCCTGCCAAATCACCTTCATTTAAGCATTTTACTGCACCTGACTAGCCTTCCTCTAAGAGAATGTAATAACATCAAGTATCCCTTCACTACACCTGATCTCTCCTTCCCCTGAGTCTCTTACTCTCAAATTTTTTCCCTACCCCATTTCTTCAGAATACCAACAAACTCCTCTTTTCACCATTTAACTTTAAGAGTAATCTGTTTCGCAGCTCTACTTCCTTTTCCTCCATTTATTCAACCCACTGCAGTTCTGCTTCCATCTCTATAACAATACTAAAACTGCTTTTTCAAGGTCAACAATAATTCTCCAAATGTCAAGTCCAAGAGCTAATCAAATTTTAGCTGCATCCACTATTGATTATCCCCTCCCTGAAACTCTATTATCTTCTTTGACAGTACACTCTGGTAGTTCTCCTATATGTCCAACCACATCTTGTCAGTATAGTTTGTTGGATCTTCTTCCAAGATCTTAAATGAGTAATAGGTAATGTTCAGAGCTCTTACTGTAGAGCAAATTTAATGGCATTATATGAAAGTGTCATGGCATTTAACAATGAATTCTTTTTCAGCTCCATCTCTAAACAGAAATGTATTTTTCTCATCAAAAAGAGATTTAAATCTCCCCCTCCCCCAACACACACACCTTGGCAATAAAGCAAATGGAGCAGCAAAGCCAAGCTAGGCAGGAAAATCTGATCCCTGATCCTTAAGGAACAGTGGTTCTTAACATTCTTGGAGTCCCAGACCCCTTGGAGAATTACATGAAATATAAAAACCTTTGCATCACCCAAATTGTGACTACATGAGCTCATACAAGCACAGGTCTGGAAAAAAATCTGAGGGGTTTCCCAGACTCAAATTAGGAATCCCAGTGATGGAATACAGAGTGCTCGGGTAAGGAAAGGAGGAGGGGAAGGCTACAATAATCTACAGCTTTAGGCAGAATTTTGGATAACATTAAAGAGGAGCGGGACTTTCCACTGAAAATCAATTGATCAGTCCTGTATTTTGAACAGGTTCATAAGCAAACACAAAACCTTAGTAAAAATGCTCCTGAAGCAAGACTTTACGTCCCAGGATCTCAAAGTTTACATGTAACAAACAGAAGATTGCAGAATCAGATCTATTTCCTTAGCCATACTATCTTAAGGGTTATCTTCAGTACCTCCCTAGATGAGGATAAAGAGAACCCACTATGTATATTTTACAATTCAAATTAGTAATGAGTATATAACAGTTCTTATTACCCTGTAGCTCATCTTTTTTTTTCTCAAAATCTTGTCATCTTTTAGTTTACGAAGTCCTCCAAATAGTGCTTTATATGATTAATTGGATTGGTTAGAGGGATTAGACTTCTATTGTTGAAGACAGGGCAGAATCAGGCAGAACGTCTTGGATCACTGTCTCAAAAAATTCTGATTTTTTGTCTGAATAAAGAGAAAATATCATTTAAAAGACAAAAGAACTTTAAATCTGTTTTCTTATTCTTCAAAATGCTTACATTGATTAGATAGGCCTGGATAAAAGTACAAAGAGAGCTGGTCCATGCTTTTGACCTCCGCTCATTACCACCTCTATTTCATTGTTTTTGTATAAATTATAGGTTTACCATTCTTTATGTCTTTATGTCTTTGCATTTCAATATTTTAAACTTCAAGGTACTTAGATATTTCCGCACAATACCTCTATCCCAACACCAAATCTATTATATTTAAGAATCATTCTATGCAAATAGAAAGAATGACTTTTTCTTTTTAGAAAGTTACTTAGATGGAAAAACAAATGGAAGCAGTCAAATATGTCAACAATAAATACAGTATAACAAAAAGATTTCTAAGTTGTGTTAATAGCCCAGGTCAAATTTAACACCATTATTCAAAACCAGCCAAACACATGCTCTCTCTAATGGTGAGTTAGTAGTACCACCTTCACATTAAAAGAACTTTACTATGTTTCATCTATCGATGTCTAAACTGAAGAAGATGATTCCTATGTACTGGTTTACATGTGTGTGAGTGGCAGGTTCTGGGTCTGCTGTGCTGTGTCGTGACTGTCAGTGTTTCTCTAGTTTTGCAGTAACGCCGTGTTGTTATTTACGCTCTGACAGACTGTCACGTGGTAGGTTCTTTCTCAGGAACTCAATTTAACTATTATTTATTGATATATCGTCACCTTTGAAACACTTTTACTGGCACAACTTATTGTTAAAGTTTTGAATCCAAAAAAAAAGAACTTTACTATGTTTCAATTATAAAATTAATACATTTAGCAATTCTGAAACTTAAGAAACTAAGGTTATGCTGTTGAAGTAGTGCATTGGGAAGTTATAAGATGCATTATCTTAGCACTCAATCGAAGATGTTTACAACAACTTTCATTAAAATTATTTTTTCTGGGAATTCCCTGGAGGTCCAGTGGTTAGGACTGGAGAGGGCACAGGTTCGATCCCTGGTCAGGGAACTAAGATCCGGTAATCTGCACGATGCGGCCAAAACATAATAATAATAAATAAAACAAAATTATTTTTTCCATTTGTGATTGTCCTTTCCCATAATATTTAATAATGTTAAATTAATTTTTTAAAGATAAAATCATGACTCATTCTAATACAGAAGTGAACATGGTTCAAGATTTTATTTAACTCACAAAGGTACCAGCCAGATGGTTGATAAAGGGAGTCCCAAAATTGGGCTCATTAATAGATCAGGAATACTGAAATGAATGTACGTGAGGCAAAACTTCCACTCAACCTCTAAAAGACATGTAGAATTTTCATGTCTACAAATAAAATGATTTAGTATTGACAGTAGTTGTCTACAGTTTATACAGCTGTAAAATAACTTTCTTAGAATCAGGTAATACAAGGGGTGTCACCGAGATGGAATCTAGACTATGTACTAAAGCACGTTTTTTCCTCATATATATACACATTTTTTCGTATATTAGCCATACACGCTCACCTAAATGCTCCCTTCCCCATCAAACTTAACTGAAGTAAGTCTGTTGCCACAATTTCCTCCCTTCTCATTCATCCAACCCACCGTAGGCTTGTTTCAAACACCTACACTGTTACATCTATTTACAACCTGATCATATCCATTCTCTACTCTTATCATTTTCTTGAATATGGCAGACTAGGTGAACATGTCTTAAAAACTCAAGAAACGCCTGAAGAAAATCAGGTAATATAGATAAAACTCTATTTTCTAAGCTGGCTGCAGCTATCTTGAAGGCACAGACTTATTTCTTTTATATACCTATATGTTAGCTTTAATCTTCCACAGCTACAGACATCAGAACTCCTTTCTAAACACTTTTATGCAGCCCAAGAATAAAATCGGACAAAACTGCAAAAAAGAAAAGCTAATTCCCACTTGGTGACAGAGCACCTAAAGCCTCAATTACCAAGCAAGGAGGAGTCAGCCCTGTTCACTTCCCCCTCCGGCGACCAAGGAGCGGAAACCAAAAGCCAGACCAATGTCACTCCAGGGACTGCGGAGATCCAGACAACTCAGCATCCTGGGCTCAGCGCCTACCCAGCCCTGATTCGAGCAGCTCTCGGTCCGTGAAACGCCCAGTCCACACGAGCGACCACACAAACTCGACTCCTGCACCCCAGGACGCGCGCCTCCCCAGGGGCTAGAGCACCACTGTCCCTTGTGCCTGGGTCTGCCTATCCTCTATCTTCTGGTGGGTAACTTCTCCCCGACAGCGCCTCAGGCGAGAGGAACCAGACCAACAGCGGAGGGGGGAGCGCCAGGCTCATTTTTGCGGAGAACTGACAAAACCAGCCCTCTATGCCCGCACCCCCAGCCCTGGCCGAGTCCCGTGCGCCTCCCGCCGCGCCCCCGGCCCGCTCCGCCCCGCCTTCCTTCCCGGCCTCTGTCCCGCCGCTCACAGCATTCCGGCGGTCCCATCCGGGAGGTAGGCACGGCGGGTTAAGTTCCTCGTGGAAAGAGGCCGAGCGGCATCCCCGGACAAGCCTTGCCAGGAGCTCGGCGGGTAAAGCAGCCAAAGTCGCAGGAGGCTGGAAAGACCAGCCGCAGGAGCCCTGGCAGGCGAAACACCGCCTTCCGCTCCCGGCCGGCGCTCACCAATCAGAGCCCAGCTCTTACGTCATTTCCCCCAGAAGGCAAAGGGAACGTCGGGCGGAAGAGGCTCCTTGAGCGGACCCGGAAGGGGTGGGTTCCACGGGCGGGTCCAACTAGCCCGGAGCCTCGTGGAGGCCCAGGTAGGTACCGTAGGCGCGCGGCGGCCGAGCACTTTTTGCTCCGCTCCTCGGGTTTGTTTGGTCCTGGCTGAGGCCTTCCTGGTGCCAGCAGCGGGCGAGGCAGGGGGATTTGGGGACGGTCTCGAGGGTGGAGGGGCACCTGGGCCACTGCGGGAGCCCCACCGCCGTCCCTGGGAAGCTGGCCGCGGACACCCGAAGCTGGCGCGTGCCGTGTTGAGCTAGTTCACCCGGCGCCTGCAGGGCTCTCCTGAGGATGGTCTGGCAGCGTGGTGGGTGTGCGGAACCCCCACTTCACCCTCTCCTGACTGAAGAATTGGTTTAGCGACATCTGACAGGTCTGTTCCGGCGGTCCAGCCTTTCAGCGCATCATAGAAGCATGTTTTCGGGGGCTGTGGGTTAAGAAGCAGGGATGGTAGGGGCATAGAGGAAGGTTAGGGCGTGAGCTCTCTCCGAAAAGCGTCATATACACAACATGCATGTGAGACACAAGTGACCAGTACCAAGATGTATGGAAGATCGTTGAAGTTCTGAGGCAATGGAAAAAGCTTCGAGAATTGGACTAGCCCCAAAGGAAGTGGGCCTCAGAGGGTAACACTTGGGTAGACGGGCGAATGCATGTTATTCTAAGTGGGAGGAACAGTTTGAAGAAGGCAGGTGACAGGACAAAGAGGGAAACCAGCTAGCCTGACAGAAAAGTTTATGCGAGAACTAAAGAGGAATAGATAGGTTGAGTTCTTGCGAACTGCACACTGTTTAGCTCTTAAAGGGTTTTGGGGTAGGATTAGTGCGTTTGAAAAGATTAGTCAGGTAGTATTAATGACTTTTAAAAGAAAAGAATGAAAAACATGGAGGTGGAGGTGCTACATAGTGCAGGAACCCAGTGATAAAGAGCTGGAACAGAAAGTAGTGGAAAGAGAAAAGGATCCTCATTCAGAGAAACAGGTAGAAGTTTCTGACAAAAGAGAGGACGGAGGCAAAGAGAAATAGTTTAGTGGTTAAAAGAGGAAATTTTGGAGTTTGGTTTGTAATCTGGCTTTGGCACTTAAAACCAGCTGAATGACTTTGAGCTAGCTATTTCATGTCTCTGTGTCTAGTTTCCTTGTCTGTAAAATAGGGATAAGAATAGTACCTATCTTGCAAGTTAACTGTGAAGGATCCTTTTAAGCACTTCACATGTATTAACCCACTTAATTCAATTAATTGTGATTAATCCAATTAATAAATATGAAATTAACTGCATATGTTTACTCAGTTATATATATTTTAATGTATCAGTTACCATATAGTAAGCACTCTTTCAGTATTGGCTGTTTAAATAATACTAATGAGCCAAAGGTTACTACAAGGTTTTGAGCCTGAATGGCTTGGAGACTCAGAAAAAAGTGAGTAGGGTTCAGGAAGCAAGGTAGGTTTGGTTTTATACACGTTAAATGTGATACTGCAAGGTGTTCGGATGGGGATGTCTAATAAACTCTTGGAGCTGTATAGTTAGTATTCAGGTATGTAGGCCGGACTGGAAGTAGGGATGTGGTGGGTCCCTGGGCCTAGGCGTGCTGTATGAAGTCTCCAAGGAAAATACTGTGGTAGATGGTGGAAGACTACCATGAACAACAATTACAGTTAAGGGGCTGGGGCCAGAGGAGTAAGATGAATTGGTAAAGAATTGATCAAATGGCCCAGGTGAAGAGCGTTTTTGCCATGTTAATATTATCTTCCCTTCATTTTTAACTGGCTTTATGTTGGTTCCTAGGAGAAGAAAAATGAGGCCTGTAAGTGGTCATTAAAAGAAAGTATTAGTACAGGCATTGAATATTTTCCTGTTAAAGTAGACTAAAACATCAGGTTGTAATAGAAAGAGACCCTGTAGCGTTAAACCAAACAAACTGAACCAACAACAGCAACAAACAAAAACAGCTCCAGAAGAAGGCTGTAACTTCTGTTTAGTATTCTTGTGTTTTTTAAGCTGCACCGGTGTTTGGGGGAATACCTTTCACGTTTCCATATTAAGAACAGACAAGCTTAATTTATCTCCTTCACCAGTCAGTTGTCTCTTATGGTAACCAAGTGTTTTCAGAGAATTTGATTTAGTGCAGTTGTTAAAACCAAAGCTGGGTCCGCCCCCCTGTGGGCAATCAAGCCAGTCTACTGACACCGGGTTGTGGTGAAGGAAAGTGCAGCTAATGCTCAGAAGACACCCCTCCCCGGCACTGGCTTTCAGGGAAAGGTTTTTCAAGTCAAGGTGAGGGAGAGGGGGTGGGGCATGTGATCAGCTGGTGGGCATTCTTCTGATTGGTTGGTGGTGAGGTAATTGGGAGTCAACACCATCAACCTAGTTCCAGCTGGCCTGGAGTCTACGTGCTGGTGGTCAGCATTCAGTTAACTTCTTCCACCTGGTTGGGGTTTCAGTATCTGCAAAACAGCTCAAGGATATGGTTCAGAATATTATCTCCATAGCCCTTGAGGAGGAACCTAAAGATCCTTGATTTTGTTTAATGGCTAAAACTATTTTTATTTTGTCTTGCTTGATTCCTTTGTTTCTGCATTTTCTCACTTCTCTGATTACATTTGCTCTTTGGAACTCAGGGAAGGCTTAGGAGGCTAAAGGTTTTCTACTAACGGGAGGCAGGTGGAGGACATGGTGTGGCGGGGGCGGGGGGCGAGGGGTGGGGGGCGGCGGTGGTGCCTGACCTGGGAAGGCCCTGTAGGGTCCTGCTCGGTTACATAAGAACTATGGCAACTTCGAAAAACAGTGTGCCAAGGGCAGGTGGCTGCCCTGCTTTGGAAATCCAGGGCATACCTGCACGTATTAGTTACAGTAGTTCTCAAAGCGGGGAACCGCAGCAGCAGCATCACTTGAGAACTTGTTAGAAATGAAAAATCTTGGGTCCCATCCCAGACCTACTGAATCAGAAATAGGCCCTGGGGATGTGCGGTGTAGGTGGTTCCCAGCAATTTGTTTTCATAATCCCTTGGGTGATTTAGATACATTCTGGAGTTTGAGAGCCACTGTGCTCGAAGGTAAGTGCCACAAGATCAGGGATGTTGTTTTACTCAACACCATATCTCTAGCGTCTAGATCAGTGCCTGTCTCATTATTAGTAGGTTTACAATAAATGCTCACCAATAAATATTTTCAGTCTCAGGCTGTCTGTCTCCGTGTAAAAACTTTGATGGTAGTTGAATGGGCAGAAGCAAATTGTTAAGCTGCATTGGGACTACATGTCAGAATTTGTGAGGTGGCCATGACAGTGTGACCAATCCAAAACTTGAGGAGTGAGAGATTACACATTGAGTCAGCAGTGAATAAAAAATGGAGATGTCTGGGTATTTTATGTCAGTAATATATTCAAAGTAAATGAAGGTTAAGCAACCACAGGTCATGTACTTTTAACTACATGATATGCAGTCGGTGTTTGCCAGCCTAGCAGAACCCAAGAACTCAGTTTTCTTTGTTTGCAGGTGCAGCTGCCTCACTTGTGGTATCAGATGTTAGAACATGGGGCTCACCAGGCAGTACCTACGCTATGTTGCCAGTGCAGTCTTTGGCCTTATTGGCAGCCAGAAGGGTAATATTGTCTTTGTGACACTTCGTGGTGAAAAAGGACGCTATGTGGCAGTACCAGCCTGTGAACATGTTTTCATCTGGGACTTAAGGAAAGGAGAGAAGGTATGCGAGAAATCACCTAGGTTGATATTGATTTATGGGTATTTAAGGGTGGAGGCAGAAGTGGGAGAGGTCTGCTTTGTCATGCACAGACTTTGTTGTCATGCACAGATTTTTTTTTTTTAATGTGTGTGCCTCTAGAAATTTTTTTTTTCCTTTGGGTCCAGATAGCCAAGTATCACATTCTATTGTGCTCTTCTATACTGTATTCTGAAAACCACAACCAAAAGAGCCTACCTCTTGGGTATTTATTTGTAGTGATATTTACAGGTAATTATTTGTAATCATTATTCCCAACATGTTTGTTTTTCTCTACTTTACCAGTTCTCCATTTTTCAAGTTCTTCTACTTGCCCTCACAACTAGTTACAGAAATTAAGCATTTAAAAGGAATATTGCTATGTTGACTGAATCTTTCTCTTACTTATGCAGATGAGGCCCAATGGTTGTTAAACTAGCCTTTGATATTTTGTGTGACTCTGAATTCCCAAGCCTACCACTTCTGCCGAACAAAATACAGGCATTTTGATCTTGTCCACTCACTTTGTGACCTCCAAGAGGTTAATACTTTGATACTTAGTGTCCCCCAGAGTCCCTTGGGGATACATCACTGTAGCACTCCAGTGCCATGCAGGTTGGTTTCTGGGATGGGGCTCAGTTAAATCAAGGATATGTTTATAACCCTTTATGGAAAATCATTTGGTGTTGACATAGAATAAGGACTTAGTAATTTATTCCATTGCTTGGGAAATTTTGGCATGTATCATGCTAATGTAGAGCTTTGGAGAAATAGTATAGCTTTACCTTTTCTTGAATGTTTCATTACCCTGTACAAATAATAATTTCTATATTAAAGAACTTGAGATAGAGTCCAGAGACTCATTATTATTCATAAGAGTGATTTGGAATTATTGATGCTCTTAATTTTACTGTGCCTGATTATTCCCACACTTTTTCCTTGATGACATGCTTAACTCCTCTACATTGTTTTTAATTCTTATTATTTCAGATTCTCATCCTTCAGGGGCTTAAACACGAAGTCACTTTCTTGTGCCCCTCCCCAGATGGGCTGCACTTAGCTGTTGGTTATGAGGATGGGTCTATCCGAATCTTCAGTCTCCTGAGTGGGGAAGGAAATGTGACCTTCAATGGACACAAAGCAGCAATCACTTCCTTGAAGTAT